ATGGTAACAGTCACAAAGTCAGAAAACGATAAATTCTCCCCTTTACAAGTCAGCTCTGCCTGCAGATCAGTGTTGAGGCTCTGTTGGAACACGGCTTTCAGTGAAACAACATGCCATCCGCTCTGAGCAGCGAACATTCTGAACATGATGGCATATTCGGCAGCAGTACGGTTACCTTGTGACATTTGTAGAATCTGCGTTGTTATATCCTTGCCCCCAGCGGGATATTCAAACACTTCTCGCAGTTGTTGGAGGAAGTAATCAAAAGATCTTCTAAATCGCACATCCGTTTCCCAAACTGCTGCAGCCCAGTTGATCACCTTGCCAGATCATAACGTCATCATGAAAGCGCATTTCTTTTCATCTGACTCAAACTTGTCTTCCTGGTTATCAAAGTAAATCTTGACTTGACGAACTAAGCCTCTACATTGCTCCGCAGATCCATCAAATTTATCAGGTAATGCAAAGCTTACCGTCTTCGGTGTGGGCGATGGACGAGACTGGATGTATTGAGTCAGGTGCTCAATGACAGACTGGAGTTTAGCAAGTTGATCTTGGTAACCCTTTAATACCTCACTTTGATAGGCGAAAGCCACTTGCAAGTTTGAAACTTCCGCTGGATTCAGTTGAGGCAAAGTATTCTGTAACAACGAAGCTGAGGCGGCGTTAGAATCCATTTGCAGAAGTTTATTAATAGCAGACTTAAGTGACAGAAACGTTAGGCCAGGCAGGAAGTCAATACCAAAACAGCAGTCCAATCCATTAACATACACAAGGGTGATCCAAAAGGCAGAGATGAGCAAGCAGGCAAAAAGTCCAAACACATTCATCAGTCAGAATCAGGCTATCAATGCAAAGGGGTAATCCAACAAACGTAAAGCAGGTAATCAGGCAGAATCATACACAGAATAGGCAGGCAGAAAACAATGGAAATGCTTGGTAAGGCATGTAAACTGGCAATAATTCGCAATTGGCAAATACACAGTCTCTTGCTAAATACTGATCAAACAGGAAATGAACGTAAAAGCAGAGGGAGCAGTACACAGTCAGTACTCAGGCGAGGGCTCCCTCTGCTGGTGCGGTGTTACACCTTCTCAAACTTTTGAAGCAGCAGTGTTTATTCTTGCCTTGTAAATGCATTTAAATTAATTAAGTTTTTAATTACGACATCTCTTTGTCTTTAGCAAAAAAGGGAATTGTGCCAACTCTCACGAGAAGTAAATCAAACTGCCACTTTGCTGACACTCTCCACATGTTCCATGTGATTGGCTATTTGCTGCATGTGTCACACTTTCAGGTGCATGCACTCCGGAGCTAATCACAAACTCTGGATCAAACTCTGAGTTGACTGAGAACATTTATATCGAGTTTGTGAGCCCGCTGAACCTGATCGAAACCAGGTTTGATTTGTTTGTTCATCTCGCTTCGTGCTACAGGCCACAGCACACAATATTCAGGGGTAGCTGCTGCTTGGAGTAATGGGCATGCCGAAAGGTTTCTCATTGGTCATTCTGAAAGGATGGGGGCATGCCAAAAGGTTTTCGCGAAAGCTGCCTGTTCCGCATAAAGGCGTTGATGCACTGTGAACATGAACAATAAAACAACTGTATTTTTATTAACTAATACTAACAAAGATGAATCAATACTGTAACAAAATATATTGCTCATAGTTAATGTTAGTTAATACATTAAATAATGTTAACAAAGTAAACCTTATTGTAAAGTGTTACCCTAAAAACTATGTTTTGCCTGATAGAGAAAAATACATAGTTGATAAAACACTAAAGAAATATAAAATAAAAAAATCAGATGAGTTAGAAGTGTTTGTCACAACTACCTATGGAGAGGAAACAAGGAGAACACAGGAGAGTACCATCCACAGTCTTTATTAATCCACAGAAAGTGGGTAATACAGGCAGGACACACACATAGCACTTCCATGAAGACGACAGAACACCGGACCAAATACAGTAACTTTATTTGTGTTTTCCCCTTCATTTGTTTTCCGTGTTGTGCAGTGTTTTCTGTTTCTGTTGTGTTCCCAATGCATCCCCTCAGTTTACCTCCCTTGCCCGTAAAGACCTTCCCTTCTTGGAGTATCCTGTGGAGTTCAGCCAGCTCGCCATTTTAACGGCGTTCGACGACGCTGCCCTGAACTCCCTGTTTTGGATCGGGCCAACTACTACTGCCCCGTCAACCTCCCAGACACCACTGGACTGTGCTGGAGGGAGGCAATCATCCGGTGTCTGGAAAGTGTCTACCCCCGATCCAGAGTACAGCCAGACCCAGAGGCCAGCCCACCATCACCTCGCTGCGTGGAGCAAGAGTCTGAGCCCACCTCTGACGGAGAGCCAGAGCCTGTCGCGACCGACGAGCCATCGCCTAGGAGTGCGACAGAGCTGAGGATCGCCATAGAGCCAGAGCCTCACGGATCGTCAGACCAGATGCGAGAGCCGGCTACAAACCTTACTGACTTGTATACCAACCTGCTCCCTCTCCTCCCTCCTCCGTCGTGACCTCTGTCCCTCCCGTTCCTGAGTTTAGCCCTGTTTAGCCCAGAGAGGGCTTCTGTTCCTCAATCCAGCCTGGAGAGGGCTTCTGTTCCCAAGGGCAGCCCTGAGAGCACGGAGGCTCAGAAATGCCAACTCACCCTCCCGCTCCTGCCTCCTCCGGTGCGAGCTCTGCGGGTCTGCCAGTATCCATCGTCACCATGACGGAAGAATCCCTGGCCTCCGCCTCCAGCCTCTGAATCCCAGACTATGCCTCGGCTTGTCGACCTGTCGGCTCCACCATGGCTCCTAGCTCCCTCCTCTCCTCCATGGCCCATCAGTCCACTGGTTCTGCCGGGCTCCCTCGTCCCTTCGGCTCCTCCTCGGTCCTCTGTCACTCCGGCTCCCCCGCAGCTTTACGGATCCACGCCTCCGCATCGGTCGCCTAAACCATCTGTTCCGCTTTGGCCCTCCGGATCCTCCCCATCATCCTGGCTCATCGGCTCTCCGTCTCCACCTCGGGCTCCTCCGCCACCTGCTCCGCTACTGTTGGTTGGCCCCCTGGAGTCGTCAGCCCTTCCTCCTCCATGGCTCCTCCCTTCTTTGGCTCCATCGTGACGGATCCACGCCTCCGCATCGGTCGCCTAAACCATCTGTTCCGCTTTGGCCCTCCGGATCCTCCCCATCATCCTGGCTCATCGGCTCTCCGTCTCCACCTCGGGCTCCTCCGCCACCTGCTCCGCCGCAGTCGGTTGGCTCCTTGGAGTCATCAGCCATTCCTCTTCCATGGCTCCTCCCTCTGTTGGCTCCCCCGTGGGTCGCCATGATGGCTGTGGCCTGGGTCCCACCTAGCTCCTCCTGCTCCTAGTCCCTCCTGTCGTCTCCCTGGCTCCCTGCTCCGCCATGGCCCCCTAATCTGCCTGATCCGCCCTGTAGGCCTTCCTTGTCTCCATCCTGCACCGGCCTCCAGGGCGCCCTCCCTCCCCGCTGGAACTGTTACGGCGTGGGACTCACCTTCCGGGAGGGGGGAGTAATGTCACGATTATGGACCTGTTTTGTTGTATTTTCCATCCCCATGTGCTCCGTGACCCAGTTTCTCCCTCTCGTTGATTGTTCATTTGATTCTGGTGTGTCTTGTTTCTAGTCTTAATCACCCCATGTATTTTAGTTCCAGTCTGTGCATTCCTCCTTTGTCTGGTCTACTATGTTGTGTTTGTCTGTCTTCTCCCGTTCCCTGTGTGGATATACCCTGTGTCTTTGGATCTATTAAAGACTGTTTCGATTATCCACGTCTCCATCGTTCCTCTCCGACACAGACCGTGACAGTGTTTGGTAACCTTCTATTAAGTGACATTAACCAATTTAGCAAACAGAGACAGCTTTATCCATTAAAACATTTATTTAGCTTTCAAGTCTAGTTGTCAATTCAATTGTCAATTTAATTTTTGTTGTCAAGGGCTTGTGTTCACAAGTCACAAAAGTAATAAAATAAACCACACAAACATTCATTCATTCATTCATAATTTCTGAAGAAGACAAAAAAACTTTCTGCACACTAGTGACAGAATGAGAAAGAATCTAATCTGTTTCATTTCTGTTAATTATCCCTCTGTTTATTTAGGCCCTTAGTTTCCTTAGTTCTTTGTCCTGTCTCATTTTGAATTAATGTGGTTTTGTTGCTTCCTCTGATCTCCTGTGAGTGAAAGTGAGTGAGAAATATTTTGTTATGAAGCTATGACTTTTTTGCATTTGTATTTATAGTAAATGTATTTAGGCTATTGTTTTTCATAACAAGTACCATAGTTCTATAGGAAACCATGTATATAGGGTGAGAGGAACCTGGGGTAACAATGATCTTTATATGGAAGATAATATGGAAGAACATGGATACATTTTAATGAGCAAATGCAATGTACAATCAAGGGCTGTAGCGTCCCAATGTAGTCACACTATCAGAACATTTCATTTTTTTCCTAGTAAAACAAAAGTCAGTACTTTACTTTCAGACGTGCATTTCCATAAGACAAAATATGTAATACTTTGATAAGTAAAACAGTGATTATTATTAGTTTCTGTTAGTTTCATATTTCACAGAAGGCAGTCCACTAAATCCACTCCACTCACAGTTTTAATTACTACTGTGAGGATATTGCGTTAATTTCTCTATATTTTTATATTCTTTCTATATAAATATATGGTCTGAAATGCTTAAGGATTTTTGAGGAAAAAAAATCAGAGTTGCAACTTGTGAAACTGAAAGGCAGGACTAGTGTTTATAGTTTTGTTTTCTTTCAATTAAACTGCATTATGGTATTTCGATGTTTGGTTTAAAGACCAGATTCTAATGTGTAAGTAATTAAGGAAAACTTTAAGAGTACAGAATAAATAAACTGACACTGAGTTTTGCTACAATTAGCTTTTTGTAATGTAAGAATGATCAGTTTAGAATGATTGTATTGTTCAGTTTTTTGAAACTATTAATCAAGGAAAATTTGTTTATTTATCTAACAGGGAGAAAACAAGGACTTTGGAACAGGAGTCAGACCAGATCAATGGCTACAAGAAGAGAATAAAAAAATGAATTCTCTATTTCACAGGCTTCATCTTGAAGGCAGGCACCATAATAAACTGAGAGCTGCAGATGTCCTTCAGATAACCAAACATTCATTACAGTCCCATGAGTCTTGTGCTGAAGATGAGCTGGTTCAGACTTTCATACAAAAACTACTGATGATGAACTACAGAGCAAGATTCATTCATGGTAATAAGGCCAGTGAACAGGTTCGAGCAAGACAAAGAGACAATAACTCTGAAGATGAGGGTACTATATTTGATAATGTTTTTAAAGTTATATCTTTATCAAACAATGGAACAAGTCAATCTGATCAAATCCATCCGATGGATATTCAGATGGCCGTGTTCCATTGTGCTGATGGTTTCCTGAAGCAGCTGATGGTCACTAAACTGTCCCAGTGTCAGTACGCTCTGCCTCTGCTTGTTCCTGATCCATTCACACAACAGATTGAGTTTCCTCTCTGGACATTCAGACAAATCAACAAGAGCTGGAAGATGAGAAACACCAACAATGAAGCCATCAGTCAAACCCAGCCGATCTACAAGGCAGAAACTCCAATGGTATTTTTCTTCAGGTTTGGCTCTGTGTCTTCATCCAAGTCTCAGCTGATGAACAGTCTGATCAATGAGAAACACAACACGTTCTTCCACAGGAACTGCCCAGGCAGCAGCAGAACCAGAGTCCTGATGGATGGAGTGGTGGAGATCGCCTGGTTCTGCTCCTCTGGATCATATGATGATAAATTCACTGAGTGTCTTGCGTTCTGTAATCTACATGGTGATGCAGGAGATCATGAGAAACAGCTGCAGATCCTCACTGAAATGGCCTCGGTCAATGTTGTCCTTCTACCACGACTAGACAGGAATGACAGAAGCATGACAAAACTTGAAAATCTCTACAAGGACTCAAAGCCACTAATTTTTCTTTTGACTGAGGATGTTTCAACTCTCGTTGAGATACAGAAAGGAAAATACAAGGTTGGTCTGAAGGACAGAAGTCAGGCAGATGTATCTGAAGCACTCAGAAGAGCTTTAAATGATTGTCTGTCAGAGTCATCTTATGCTTTCAGACTTGAAGATGTGTCGAAACACTCTGACATCAGAGTAGATGAGGAAGATGATGATGACTGCAGGAGAGGAAGAGAAGCAGCACAGCAGATGATGAGTTTACTGGAGAAGAAAGATCTGAGAGAAATCAAAGAATCGTTTCTGCCTCATCAGGGGAAACTGTGGCATCAGTGGAGTCAGAAGAACAAAGAACTACATCGACCTCAAGGAGATGAGATAGAAATGGACATCAGTAGAAAACAAACAGACTTGAAGAAAATCCGGAAACAGCAACATGTATCTGACATCAGTGAGTTTATGAAGCTCTTTGTTAATGAAATTTACTCAAATGCTGTAACTAAAAATACATATTTTCTGAAATGGCTTGAAATATTCCTGGATGAATATATCTCTGCTGACTTGTCTGCTATACATAACAAATATGATGAAAAGTGGTCAACAGCTGTAAGATTAAAAGATAATTATGATCAATCTGAGCAACTGGCAACTGTACAAACTGAACTTGAGGGAATATCTGAGGAACTTCAAGATGCAGTCTTTGGTTTGGAGCACATCATGAGGGAGATCGGTCAGATCTATGAATCATGTTCATCTGTTAATGAGAACAAGAAAGACCTGCAGATTCACTTCTCTTCTCTCCCGAGTCTTGCAGCAGAGATGATGATCTCTGGATTTCCACTGGAGCTGATGGATGGAGATGCTGCTCATGTTCCTGTGATCTGGATCTCTGCTGTTCTAGATGAACTCGTCCAGAAACTGGGAGACCAGAGAGTCTTCGTGCTGTCAGTTTTAGGGATTCAGAGCTCTGGGAAATCCACCATGCTGAATGCTATGTTTGGACTGCAGTTTGCCGTCAGTGCTGGCAGGTGCACCAGAGGAGCTTTCATGCAGCTGATCAGAGTCTCTGACGAGATGAAAACACAGATGAACTTTGACTATATTCTGGTTGTTGATACTGAGGGTCTTCGTGCTCTAGAACTGGCTGGAAGATCAACAAGACATCATGACAATGAA